AAAAAAAAAAGTTCAAAAATACCTGTGAAATTAATAAAATATCATTAATGAATTACACATGGAAGGAGGATTCATTAATGATATTTAAATAATTTCATGAGCATTCTTGCACTTTTTATATGCAAGTTGATGTGAAAAACACCTTTTTGTTCTTTCTTTTTTCAAAATCTTCTTTCCCTTGATTATATTTGGACAATGACACACTTTCGCTCACCATCTATAACAACATCAAGCTTATAAAGTATAAGTTATGTTAGGTGTTCTCAAATAACAAATTTTCATGCCTTTCCAAATTCTCTTCTTCAAAATTTATTCTGGTGACAATTAGAAGTCAATTTGTGTATTTAATGAGCAACTTTTTGAAGTCAAACACCCCTTGCATTAGTGAATTACAAAGTAATCGAATTAGGTTGAATAGCAGCAACTTAAAATTCCTTATCATTTCTCCTGACTTTTATTTACGATGTTTAAATCTATCGAGGAATGATGACCAGATTCCCACTGAAGAATCAACCCATTTCTCATTTCTATTTCAGGATCAGAAAGAGAAGCTTCTGAGTTTCACTATAGTCTCTGCTTGTGAGATCGTTTTGTCAATTTGTTCTTGTAAATAGAAAGTCATTGAGAGGGGGATGAATTCCATGCCATTTAGGGTTTTCCCCAAGGCAAAAAGTTTCATTTGTACAGAAAAAAAATTTCCAAGCAATACATCATTGCAGTTATCACCATATTTCCACAAATGACAGTTTGTCATTAGTCTTACTTTGTGGGGGTAATCCGTGTCTTCTTCATGTTTAAAAGCTTGGCTCGAACGTTGATTTGCAGTTCCTTGTATATTGCTTTAATTAATTCATGAACAGCTTACATAAGCAAAATGCTAGTTGACTATTTCACTTCTAGTTCTGTTGCCTGGAAATTCTTGTCTACAGTGGTTTGAATATGCTTCTCTAGCTACATCTTCTTCAAATGAGGTAAGTAATCCTTTTTCATGCCTTCTGTGATATTTGGTTTGGTTTTCTATTTGTGTATGACGAAAAAGAAGAGATTTGAGTTCCTATTTCTTCTTGTTTCTTGGAGCATATATGATACAAAATACCTTGTTGGTTTCAAATATCAGTTTAAGTGTAGAGTTGATGTCTTGTCATTAGGTTGAGCTACAAATGACAATAGATGGAGGTAATTTACTGTATTAATACCATGTATTGGAGAGTAATTATTGATTAACCTTTATTTGGGGACATTCCAAATCCTCTAGTCCGGCCCTTTGACATTCCAAAGAAATTCAAGGCTGATGTAGAAGTGAAGAGAGGTTTATATGAGTGTTTGGAAAGGATGGTGTCTGATGAAAATGAAATAAAATTGATTCTCATGTTGATTGTTTCAAGGCTCGAAAAGGATAGTTTAGAAATACTCCGGGTGTGAACATAATTGGTAATTGGAGTGCTTTTAAGATGGTGAGATTATATATTATTTTAATCTAATTAATATTAGATAGTTTTTTTTTATTCATTTCTTATTTTTAAATAATTTATTTTATAACAAATATATTGTTATAGGTTTATAAAAAAAGAGGAAACTCTCTATAGTAAAAGAAAATAAATAAAAGTTGATATTCGTTAGGTATTATTTATAGTTAAAAAAATAAAAAGATAAAAAAATAAATTGAGTTAAATAATCTCTCCTTAAATGATGAATTAATAGTGAATTCTCAAAAAAAATTAGGGGATTCATTAAATATAAAATGGCTATATCTTGATAAAGATTATACGAAAGATGATTTGGAGAAGTACAATCCTTTAGAGATCACTTTTGTTAATGATGGGGAAGATAAGGAAAATCAATATGGAAGCTGTGGAAATGACAATATAGGAGAAGCAGAAGACGATCTTTGAGTAATGGTTTTTTATTTTATTGGGTTGTTGTTTGGCTTTTCGATTATATTATCAGATATTAATTTATCAATATTTATTATCTGATTTGGACTTATTTAATGAATAATCAAAGTTGAAACCTTATTTCAAGTCTTTTACATCATTTTTCTCCATTTAATAAATTATAAAATATATAAATTTGATTTGGAAGAATCTTAGGATTTGATTTTTGATTCAACCATCTACGATTCTATCTCCCTTTTCCGATTCTATGTAGAATTGTGAGTTTGACAACCTTGCGGAAGACAGTGCATGTTTTCAAATGTTCTATCAAGAATGGTTCATTAACATATGCACCACCAATGAAGTGCACATCCCCAGCCCCCGAGGTCCATTGCAATCCCAATAAATAGGACAAAGCAGCCACCAAGAGGAACTAGACTTAGCGAATAGGTTAGGTTTCCTTGAGTCTTAGATATATTGAGTTGGGTCAATTAACTTCATGGGTCAAAGGGGACACAATTCATAACTCACCTATGTAGATCACGGGTTTGGTTTTGGTCATGCTGTCTAGTAAATTTTTTATTTTATTATTAAAATTTCATTAGTTTGCATTTGATTTTAAAACATAATAATTAAGTTTAAAACTGAAACTCAAAAACACAAATCAACGAACAAGAGAATAAAATTAGAGGCATGTAGAAGTCTGGAAATGATATAGGGTGTTTACGTTGTGATTTAGGTTTAGCCTATTTTAAACTTTTAGTTTTAGACCTTTTTTTTTATTTTGTTTACATTCTAAAACTTTCGGTTTAGTTGGACAATACTGACTTATAATTGTAATTATAATTTCTTTTTTCATTTAATATCTTAAAAATATATAAAATATATTTTATATATTTAATAGATATTCTAATTAATATTTTATATATTTTTAAAATAATAAAAATATATAAAAATAAAAATTAAAGTATCAAAAAGTATTTTTAAACAAAATCTAATTGCTTTTTTCACTAAACATTTTATTTAAAAATATAAAATTTTAATTTATAATAATTTTTTAATATATATTTTTTATTAATTTAATTAATATTATATATTTTTAAATAATAAAAAATAAAAAACCTATAACCACACCACAGCAACGAAACCTAAGGTAACCCTGTCATCCAAGCTCAGACGGGGTCGCATGTTCCTACTTTAATCATGTTGGATGGAATTGGATCAATTTTTACCGTATCTAAGAGGAACCCTAGCTAGTATCAGAATGGAGACTTGCAAACCCAAAGGAGGTTTTGTCCCAAGTCAGGTCTGGCTCATAGGATTATCGTCTTGACATTGGGCTCACAGATCCAGTGCTTCACTGGTTTGTACGGAATATGATTAATGGGAGAGTATAAATCGGCATGCCTTGGAGGATTTGGACTCACCATGCCCAAGGCACCATGGAAAGCTCGCTATGAAAATTTCTCCCCCTACCTTATTTGCTTTCATAATATTCTTGTAATTGTATTACCTTGTCCCAATTCTTTGGCAATTCTTTGTTGAATAGTTTGTAACAAAGGAAATGGGAATTGTATGCAAAGCATTATAGTTTACAATTTACATAAATGCTCTAATGTACAATCTAGCAATGCATTTTTTTTTTTGAACAAATTTGCAAAGGAACAGGTTCGAACCGTCACTTTGAGGGTGAGAGAATACACTTATACGTGGCCTGATACCACATGACCAAAGGCCTTAAGTGCATCTACCAATGCATTTTAATTGAAAAATGTAGAAATGGGACAATTAGCTCCTGCCCCATTGATATCCCTAATGAGCCAAAAAAGGAAACAAAGTCTATTCCCAACTTAGTAATAATGTTATTAAATTCACTGACCCACCTATTTTTAATAGATGAGTAGTTAATCAAAAATTATCTTGTAATTAAAATCAAACCCACTAACCCCAACTTAATAATAATGTAATAAGCTCAATTCCAAGTCACGAAGCCAAAATCGATTCAGTCCTTTGTTATGCATTTATTATCAAATTTAAAACTAGTAGTACCACTACTACACAAAGGGAGTCACTAAACCACATGATATGAGATTAGCTCAATGAAATGTTCCGATGTCACTTTCGCCCCATTATATCAAAACAAACAAGAATCTGCAGTTGATGATGCATAAAGGGACACATCTGGGTACTCCATCAACTCAGTGTCACAGACCCTGTCTCCACAACTACTTTTTCTTTTTCTGTGAAACTAAATTGTTCATCCATAAAAGTAAAGATCAAAGTGAAGAAACCCCAGATACTATTTCGAACCATACTCAACAATGTTGATGAATACCCATGAAATGAAACTATTCCAAACTAAGAAGAAATCAAATCATCCAAATTCCACCAACTATATATAATATCAAAAATCAGGATAGTATCTTCAACATTTCGATTTGGGAAAATAACTTTCCTCTGTTTAAAACTAAAATCAGACCAAAAAAACCATCAAGTTTCCTGCAATTTGTGTATTTTTGATTATTGTGGTTATATTATATATGTTATGTCCTTCATCATCCATACTCACCTCTGCTGCAACATGAAAGAGAAATTCTTCAGCTGTGATACCCTACACGTGCTCCCAATACCCCTGTAGGATGAACAATAGCCTTCCTGACACCCGCAGTTTTCTTAAGCAAAACCAGCTGCTCATAAGAGAAAACGCAAAGTCCTTGCGAACACAGGATGGTTTGGGCTGCCGGAGAGTTCAACAGAACTTCCAACATCTGCTGCCGGTTCAACCTCCTCAGTCCACCCAAATCGAACCCGGCATTAGAGTACTGGTTTTGAGCAAAGCTGGAAGAAACGGGCATGGCTTGGAGACAGGCAATTTGTGCCTGCAACAATCGGACATACTTGTAGGCTTCCTCGAGCATTGTGGAATTGTCCATCTTCTTGTCCCATGGCATCAGCTTCTGCAGACTCCGCATCTTCTCGCTCACCTTCTGCCTCCTCTGCTTTGCCAGATCGCTTTGCGGAACCATCTGAGTTGAGTTGAACCCTTGTACTGCAGACTGCAGGGTATGTGTATTGTTACCCATAGATGAGTCCAACCGAGCACGCTTTGAAGAAGCAGCGAGTCGGGGTTGGGTTTTCTCGAGTGAGCAGAGGCCGGGTAAAGGCTTGGAAAAGAAGTCGAGTGACTGAGTTGAATCGACAAGACAATCTTCAAATTTGGGATAAGTGAGAGGAAGTGGTGGCTGGAATGAGTCAAGAACGAGTTCCGGTTGTTTTGGGTTAAGTGAAGGAAAATCATGGGTGGAGAAATTGAAGTTGCAAGAGGAAACAACAGGGGAGAGATCAGAGGGTAAACTGATTAGAGCCTGGAGAGTGCCGTCGGCAAACAGGGGGTTGAAGTCTGCATCCTGGGGATTGTCGGCCGGCTCTAGGAATGGGTGAGATAACTCGAAACTTGGATGGAAATCTCTCTCTGTTTTCATTTTCTCTTTCTCCAAACAGAGGGAATGACGATAGGGAAAAGTGAAGAAACGCAGAACGAGTGACTGAGTATAAAAAACAAAAGACGTTATGATGGCAGGACACGTGGGGGGAGGTGATAGGGTGGGATTACGGAGCGGGGAATACATGAAGGCGGCTGCACAAAAATCGAGGACGATCGGGGGGCAATATATTGGACACGTGGCGACCTAGGTTTTCGAGTTTTATTGACAGTGATCATATCGGACGGTTGGGATTAATTTTGATGAAGGAAGGTGTGAGATCCACTGTGGCACGGCTATGACGCTATTCGCGTGAAATTACCCGTGGGAGTATTACTGTGGGATTAGCTGGCGTTGGGAGAGAATGATGACTAATGAAATGTCTGTCTTGCGGGTGGGGTTATTGCCACAGCAACTAATGTTAATGCCACAGCTTTTTTTAGTTATTTGACTATTATACCCCTCATTTGAATCCAACTTGCAGCAGTTACCACCTTCTCCGCGTGGGT